GCTTTCCATCACCCCGTCCCGTTCTCTCGCTTTCCATCACCCCGCCCCATTTTCCCGCTTTCCATCCACCCCGCCCGCCTCCATTCTCCCGCTTTCCATCACCCCGCCCAATTTTCCCTCTTTCATCAACCCCTCCCATTCTCCTCTTTCCATCACACCGCCCCATTCTCCCTCTTTCCATCACCCCGCCCCATTCTCCCGCCTTTCATCACCCTGCCCCAATCTCCCGCTTTCCATCACCCCCCAATTCTCCCGCTTTCCATCACCCAGCCCCATTCTCCCGCCTTCCATCACCCCACCCCATTCTCCCTCTTTCAATCACCCCGCCCCATTATCCTGCTTTCCATCACCCCGCCCCATTCTCCCTCTATCCATCACCCGCCCAATTTCCCACTTCCATCACCCCGTCCCATTCTCCCGTTTTCCATCACCCTGCCCCATTCTCTCGCTTTCCATCACCCCGCCTTATTCTCCCGCTTCCATCACCCCGCCCCATTCTCCCGATTTCCATCACCCCGCCCCATTCTCCCGCTTTCGATGACCCCGCCCCATTCTTCCGCTTTCCATCACCCCGCCCCATTCTCCGCTTTTCCAACACCCCGCCTCATTCTCCCGCTTTCCATCCACCCCGCCCCATTCTCACTCTTTCCATCACCCTCCCCATTCTCCCTCTTTCCATCACCCCGCCCCATTCCCCCGCCTTCCATCACCCCACCCATTCTCCATCTTTCCATCACCCTACCCAATTCTCCCGCTTTCCATCACCCCGCCCCATTCTCTCGCCTTCCATCACCCCGCCCCATTATCCCGCTTTCCATCACCCCCCCATTCTCCCTCTATCCATCACCCCGCCCAATTCTCCCACTTTCCACCACCCCGTCCCATTCTCCCGTTTTCCATCACCCTGCCCATTCTCTCGCTTTCCATCACCCCGCCTTTTTCTCCCGCTTTCCATCACCCCGCCCCATTGTCTCGATTTCCATCACCCCGCCCCATTCTCTCGCTTTCCATGACCCCGACCCATTCTCCGTTTCCATCACCCCGCCCCATTCTCCCGCTTTCCATCACCCCGCCCCATTCTCCCGCTTCCATCACCCCGCCCCATTCTCCCGCTTTCCATCACCCCGCCCCATACTTCCGCTTTCCATCACCCCGCCACATTCACCCGCCCCATTCTCCCTCTTTCCATCAACCCGCCCCATTCTCCCGCTTTTCTTCACCCCGCCCCATTCTCCCCTTTCCATCACCCCACCCCATTCTTCGCTTTTCATCACCCTGCCCCATTCTCCCTCTTTCCTTCACCCCGCCCAATTCCCCTCTTTCCATCAGCCCGCCCATTCTCCCGCTTTTCTTCACCCGCCCCATTCTTCCGCTTTTCATCAACCCGCCCCATTCTCCCGCTTTCCAGCACCCCGCCCCATTCTCCCGCTTTCCATCACCCGCCCCATTCTCCCTCTTTCCATCACCCTGCCCCATTCTCCCTCTTTCCATCACCCCACCCTATTCTCCCTCTTTCCATCACCCCGCCCCACTCTCCCGCTTTCCATCACCCCACCCCTTTCTCCCGCATTCCATCACCCCGCCCCATTCTCCCGCTTTCCATCACCCCGCCCCATTCTCCCGCTTTCCATCACCCCGCCCTATTCTCCCGCTTTCCACCACCTTGCCCCATTCTCCCGCTTTCCATCACCCTGCCCCATTCTCCCGCTTTCCATCACCCGCCCCATTCTCCCGCTTTCGATCACCCCGCCCCATTCTCCCGCTTTCCATCACCCCGCCCCATTTTCAAGCTTTCCATCACCCCGCCCCATTCTCCTGCTTTCCATCACCCCGCTCATTCTCCCGCTTTCCATCACCTCGCCCCATTCTCCCGCTTTTCATCACCCCGCCCCATTCTCCTGCTCCATCACCCCGCCCCATTCTCCTGCTTTCCATCACCCCGCCCTATTCTCCGCTTTCCATCACCCTGCCCCATTCTTCCCTTTCCATCACCCCGCCCCATTCTCCTCTTTCCACCACCCCGCCCTCTCCCGCTTTCCATCACCCCGGCCCCATTCTCCCTATTTCCATCACCCCGCTCCATTCTCCCACTTTCATCACCCGCCCCATTCTCCCGCTTTCCGTCACCCCGCCCCATTCTCCCGCTTTCCATCACCCGCCCCATTCTCCCTCTTTCCATCACCCCGCCCAAGTCTCCCTCTTTCCATCACCCTGCCCCATTCTCCCTATTTCCATCACCCTGCCCCATGCTCCCTCTTTCCATCACCCGCCCCATCCTCCCTATTTCCATCACCCCGCCCCATTCTTCCGCTTTCCATCACCCCGCCCCATTCTCCAGCTTACCATCATCCCGCCCCATTCTCCCGCTTTCCATCACCCCGCCCCATTCTCCGCTTTCCATCACCCGCCCAATTCTCCCAATTTCCATCACCCCGCCCCATTCTCCCGCTTTCCATCACCCCGCCCCATTCTCCCGCTTTCCATCACCCCGCCCCCATTCACCCCGCCCCATTCTCCCTCTTTCCATCAACCCGCCCCATTCTCCCGCTTTTCTTCACCCCGCCCCATTCTCCCTCTTTCCATCACCCCACCCCATTCTTCCGCTTTTCATCACCCTGCCCCATTCCCCCTCTTTCCTTCACCCCGCCCATTCCCCTCTTTCATCAGCCCGCCCCATTCTCCCGCTTTTCATCACCCCGCCCCATTCTTCCACTTTTCATCACCCCGCCCCATTCTCCCGCTTTCCATCACCCCGTCCCATTCTCAAGCTTTCCATCACCCCGCCCCATTCTCCCGCTTTCCATCATCCCGCCCCATTCTCCTGCTTTCCATCACCCCGTCCCGTTCTCTCGCTTTCCATCACCCCGCCCCATTTTCCCGCTTTCATCACCCCGCCCCGCTCCATTCTCCCGCTTCCATCACCCCGCCCAATTCTCCCTCTTTCCATCACCCCGCCCCATTCTCCCTATTTCCATCACCCTGCCCCATGCTCCCTCTTTCCATCACCCCGCCCCATCCTCCCTATTTCCATCACCCCGCCCCATTCTTCGCTTTCCATCACCCCGCCCCATTCTCCAGCTTACCATCATCCCGCCCCATTCTCCCGCTTTCCATCACCCCGCCCCATTCTCCAGCTTTCCATCACCCCGCCCCATTCTCCCGCTTTCCATCAACCCGCCCAATTCTCCCGCTTTCCATCACCCGCCCATTCTCCCGCTTTCCATCACCCCGCCCCATTCTCCCGCTTTCCATCACCCCGCCCCATTCTCCCGCTTTCCATCACCCCGTCCCATTCTCAAGCTTTCCATCACCCCGCCCCATTCTCCCGCTTTCCATCATCCCGCCCCATTCTCCTACTTTCCATCACCCCGTCCCGTTCTCTCGCTTTCCATCACCCCGCCCCATTTTCCTGCTTTCCATCACCCCGCCCGCTCCATTCTCCCGCTTTCCATCACCCCGCCCAATTCTCCCTCTTCCATCACCCCTCCCCATTTCTCCCTCTTTCCATCACCCCGCCCCATTCTCCCTTTTTCCATCACCCCGCCCCATTCTCCCGCCTTTCATCACCCTCCCTATTCTCCCGCTTTCCATTCACCCCGCCCAATTCTCCCGCTTTCCATCACCCCGCCCCATTCTCCCGCCTTCCATCACCCCCACCCCATTCTCCCTCTTTCAATCACCCCGCCCCATTATACTGCTTTCCATCACCCCGCCCCATTCTCCCTCTATCCATCACCCCGCCAAATTCTCCCACTTTCCATCACCCGTCCCATTCTCCCGTTTTCCATCACCCGCCCCATTCTCTCGCTTTCCATCACCCCGCCTTATTCTCCCGCTTTCCATCACCCCGCCCCATTTTCCCGATTTCCATCACCCGCCCCATTCTCCCGCTTTCGATGACCCCGCCCCATTCTTCCGCTTTTCCATCACCCCGCCCCATTCTCCCGCTTTCCAACACCCCGCCTCATTCTCCCGCTTTCCATCACCCCGCCCCATTCTCACTCTTTCTATCCCTCCCGTTCTCCCTCTTTCCATCACCCCGCCCCATTCCCGCCTTCCATCACCCACCCCATTCTCCATCTTTCCATCACCCTACCCAATTCTCCCGCTTTCCATCACCCCGCCCCATTCTCCCGCCTTCCATCACCCCGCCCCATTATCCCGCTTTCCATCACCCGCCCATTCTCCCTCTATCCATCACCCCCGCCCAATTCTCCCACTTTCCCACCACCCCGTCCCATTCTCCCGTTTTCCATCACCCTGCCCTATTCTCTCGCTTTCCATCCACCCCGCCTTTTTCTCCCGCTTTCCATCACCCCGCCCCATTGTCTCGATTTCCATCACCCCGCCCCCATTCTCTCGCTTTCCATGACCCCGACCCATTTCTCCCCGCTTCTCCATCACCCCGCCCCATTCTCCCGCTTTCAAACACCCCCGCCTCATTCTCCCACTTTCCATCACTCCCGCCCCATTCTCACTCTTTCCATCACCCCTCCCCATTCTCCCCTCTTTCCATCACCCCGCCCCATTCTCCTGCTTTCTATCACCCCGCCCCATTCTCCCTCTTTCCATCACCCCGCCCCATTCTCCCGCTTTCCATCACCCCGCCCCATTCTCCTGATTTCCATCACCCCGCCCCATTCTCCCGCTTTCCATCACCCTCGCCCCATTCTCCCGCTTTCCATCAACCCGCCCCATTCTCCTGCTTTCCATCACCCGCCCCATTCTCCCGCTTTCCATCGCCCCATTCTCCCGCTTTCCATCACCCCGCCCCATTCTCCCTCCTTTCCAATCACCCCGCCCCATTCTCCCACTTTCAATCACCCCGCCCCATTTTTCCCTTTTTCCATCACCCCCGCCCCATTCTCCCGCTTTCCATCACCCCGCCCCATTTTTCCCTCTTTTCACTCACCCTCGCCCCCCATTCTCCCGCTTTCCATCACCCCGCCCCATTCTCCCGCTTTCCATCATCCCGCCCCATTTTCCCTCTTTCCCATCACCCCGCCCCATTCTCGCGCCTCTCCATCACCCTGCCCCATTCTCCCTCTTTCCCTCACCCCGCCCCATTCTCCCGCTTTCCATCACCCCGCCCCATTTCTCCCGCTTTCCATCACCCCGCCCCATTCTCCCACTTTCCATCACCCCGCCCCATTCTCCCTCTTTCCATCACCCCGCCCCATTTCTCCCGCTTTCCATCACCCCGCACCATTTTCCCTCTTTCCATCACCCCGCCCCATTCTCCCGCTTTCCATCAACCCCGCCCCATTCTCCCTCTTCCCATCACCCCGCCCCATTCTCCCGCCTTTCATCACGCCACCCCATTCTCCCGCTTTCCATCTCCCCGCCCAATTCTCCCGCTTCCCATCACCCCGCCCCATTCTCCCGCCTTCCATCACCCCGCCCCATTCTCCCTCTTTTCCATCACCCCGCCCCCATTCTCCCGCTTTCCATCACCCCGCCCCATTCTCCCGCTTTCCATCACCCCGCCCCATTCTCCCGCTTTCCATCACCCCACCCCATTCTCCCGCTTTCCATCACCCCGCCCCATTCTCCCGGTTTCCATCACCCCGGCCCCATTTTTCCCGCCTTTTCCATCACCCCGCCCCATTCTCCGCTTTCCATCACCCCGCCCCATTTCTCCCGCCTTTCCATCACCCCGACCCGTTCTCTCGCTTTTCCATCACCCCGCCCACATCTCTCCCGCTTTCCATCCCCCGCCCCATTCTCCCGCTTTCCATCACCGCGCTTTCCATCACCCCGCCCCATTCTCCCTCTTTCCATCACCCCGCCCCATTTCTCCCGCTTTCCATCACCCCGCACCATTTTCCCTCTTTTCCATCACCCCGCCCCATTCTCCCGCTTTCCATCACCGCCCCATTCTCCCTCTTCCCATCACCCCGCCCCATTCTCCCGCCTTTTCATCACCCCGCCCCTTCTCCCGCTTTCCATCACCCGCCCAATTCTCCCTGCTTCCCATCACCCCCGCCCATTCTCCGCCTTCATCACCCCGCCCCATTCTCCCTCTTCATCACCCCGCCCCATTCTCCCCGCTTTCATCACCCCGCCCATTCTCCCGCTTTCCATCACCCTGCCCCATTTCTCCACGCTTTCCCATCACCCCGCCCCATTCTCCCGCTTTCCATCACCCCCACCCCATTCTCCCGCTTTTCCATCACCCCGCCCCATTTCTCCTGGTTTCCATCACCCCGGCCCATTTTCCCGCCTTTCCATCACCCCGCCCCATTCTCCCGCTTTCCATCACCCGCCCCATTCTCCCGCCTTTCCATCACCCCAACCCGTTCTCTCGCTTTCCATCACCCCCGTCCCCCATTCTCCCGCTTTCCATCATCCCGCCCGCTCCATTCTCCCGCTTTCCATCACCCCGCCGAATTCTCCCTCTTTCCATCACCCTCCCCATCTCCCTCTTTCCCTTCACCCTGCCCCATTCTCCCTCTTTCCATCACCCCGCCCCATTCTCCCCGCCTTTCATCACCCCGCCCTATTCTCCCGCTTTCCATCACCCCGCCCAATTCTCTCACGCTTTCATCACCCCGCCCCATTCTCCCGCTTTCCAATCACCCCCGCCCCTTCTCCTCTTTCCATCACCCCGCCCCATTCTCTCGCTTTCCATCACCCCCCGCCCCATTCTCCCTCTTTCCATCACCCCGGCCCGTTCTCCTCTTTCCATCACCCCGCCCCATTCTCCCACTTTTCCATCACCCCGCGCCATTTTCCCTCTTCTCCATCACCCCGCCCCATTCTCCCGCCTTCTCCATCACCTGCCCCCATTCTCTCGCTTTCCATCATCCGCTCCATTGTCCCGCTTTTCCATCACCCCGCCCAATTCTCCCTCTTCCATCACCCCGCCCCATTCTCCCTTTTCCATCACCCCGCCCCATTCTCCCGCTTTCCATCACCCCGGCCCCGTTCTCCCTCTTTCCATCACACCGCCCCATTCTCCCTCTTTCCATCACCCCGCCCCATTCTCCCGCTTTTCCATCACCCTGCCCCATTATTCCTCTTTTCATCAGCCCCGCCCCATTCTCCCGCTTTCTCATCATCCCGCCCCCATTCTCCCTCTTTCCATCACCCCGCCCCGTTCTCCCGCTTTCCCATCACCCCTGCCCCCATTCTCCCGCTGTCCATCACCCCGCCCCATCTCCTGCTTTCCATCACCCTGCCCCATTCTCCCTCTTCCCATCACCCCGCACTATTCTCTCGCTTCCACACCCCGCCCCATTCTCCCGCTTTCTATCACCCCGCCCCCATTCTCCCGCTTTCCATCACCCCGTCCCATTCTCCCTCTTTCCATCACCCCGCCCCATTCTTTTGCGTTCCATCACCCCACCCCATCCTCCCCTCTTTCCATCACCCCGCCCCATTCTCCCGATTTCTATCACCCCGCCCCATTCTCCCCTTTTTCCCATCACCCCGCCCCATTCTCCGCTTTCCATCACCCTGCCCCGTTTCTCCCTCTTCTCCATCACCCCGCCCATTCTCCCTCTTTCCATCCACCCCGCCCCCATTCTCCCGCTTTCCATCACCCTGCCCATTCTCCCTCTTTTCATAGCCCCGCCCCTCCCATTCTCCCGCTTTCCATCACCCCGCCCCATTCTCCCTCTTTCCATAACCCTGCCCCATACTCCCGCTTTCCATCACCCCCGCCCCATTCTCCCTCTTTCCATCACCCCGCCCCGTTCTCCCATGCTTTCCAATCACCCCGCCCCATCCTCCCGCTTTTCATCACACCCGCCCATTCTCCCGCTTTCCAACCCCCCGCCCCGTTCTCCCGCTTTTCCATCACCCCGCCCATTCTCCCGCTTTCTCCATCACCGCGCCCCATCTCCCGCTTTCCACTCACTCCCTCCCCATTCTCCGGCTTCCATCACCCCGCCCCATCTCCCGCTTTCCATCAACCCGCCCTATTCTCCCTCCTGCCCCATCACCCCGCCTCATTTCTTCCCTCCTTCCATCACCCCGCCCCCATTCTCCCGCTTTCCATCACCCCGCCCCATTCTCCTCCTTTCCACTCACCAGCCCCCATCTCGCGCTTCCTCACCCCGCCCCCATTTTCCCGCTTTCCATCCACCCCGCCCCATTCTCCCGCTTTCCATCACCCCGCCCCCAATCTCCTGCTTTCCATCACCCCGCCCCATTCTCCCTCCTCCATCACCCCGCCCCATTCTCCCGCTTTCCATCACCCCCGCCCCATTTCTCCTGCTTTCCATAACCCCACCCCATTCTCCCTCCTTTCATCACCCCGCCCCATTCTCCGCTTTTCCATCACCCAGCCCCATTCTCCCTCTTTCCATCACCCCGCCCCATTCTCCCGCATTCCATCACCCCGCCCCATTTTCCCTCCTTCCATCACCCCGCTCCATTCTCCCGCTTTCCATCACCCCGCCCAATTCTCCCTCTTTCCATCACCCCTCCCCATTCTCCCTCTTTCCATCACCCCGCCCCATTCTCCCGCTTTCCATCACCCCGCCCCATTCTCCCTCTTTTCCATCACCCCGCCCCATCTCTCCCTCTTTCCATCACCCCGCCCCATTCTCCCGCTTCCAATCACCCCGCCCATTCTCCCTCTTTCCATCACCCCGCCCCATTCTCCCGCTTTCCATCACCCCGCCCCATTCTCCCTCTTTCCATCACCACGCCCCATTTTCCCTCTTTCCATCACCCCAGCCCCATTCTCCCGCTTCCATCACCCCGCCCCATTCTCTCGCTTTCGATCACCCCGCTCCATTCTCCCCGCTTTCCATCACCCCGCCAATCTCCCTCTTTCTATCAACCCCTCTCCATTCTCCCTCTTTCCATCACCCCGCCACCCATTCTCCCGCCCTTTTCATCACCCCGCCCCATTCTCCCGCTTCCATCGCCCCGCCCAATCTCCGCTTTCCATCACCCCCGCCCAATTCTCCCGCCTTCCATCACCCCGCCCCCCATTCTCCCGCTTTCCATCAGCCCGCCCATTCTCCCGCTTTACATCTCCCCGCCCCCATTCTCCCGCTTTCCATCACAGTGCCCCATTCTCCCGCTTTTCCATCACACCGCCCCATTCTCCGCGTTCCCATAACCCCAACCCCCATTGTTCCGCTTTCCATCACCCCGCCACATTCTCCCACTTTCCATCACCCCGCCCCCTTCTCTCTCCTTCCATCACCCCGCCCCATTCTCCCTCCTTCCATCACCCCGCCCCATTCTCCCGCTCTTCATCAGCCCGCCCCATTCTCCCGCTTTCCATCACCCCTCCCCTTTCTCCCGCTTTCCATCACCCCGCCCCATTCTTCCGCTTCCCATCATCCCGCCCCATTCCCCCGCTTTCCATCACCCCCTCCCCCATTCTCCCTCCTTCCATCACCCGCCCCCATTCTCTCTCTTTCCATCACTCCGCCCCATTCTCCCGCTTTCCATCACCCCGCCCCATTCTCCCGCTTTCCATCACCCCGCCCCATTCTCCCTCCTTCCATCACCCCGCCCCATTCTCCCGCTTTCTATCACCCCGCCCCATTCTCCCTCCTTCCATCACCCCGCCCCATTCTCCCTCATTCCATCACCCCACTCCATTCTCCCGCTTTCCATCACCCCGCCCCATTCCCCCTCTTTCCATCAGCCCGCCCCATTCTCCCGCTTTCTTCACCCCGCCCCATTTCTCCCGCTTTCCATCACCCCGCCCCATTCTTCCTCTATCCATCACCCCGCCCCATTCTCCCGCTTTCCATCACCCCGCCCCATTCTCCCCTCTTTCATCACCCTGCCCCATTCTCCCTCTTTCCATCACCCCACCCCATTCTCCCGCTTTCCACGCCTGCCCATTCTCCCGCTTCCATCACCCCGCCCCCATTCTCCCGCGTTCCGTCACCCCGCCCCCATTCTCCCGCTTTCCACTCACCCCGCACTTCTCCCTCTTTCCATTACCCCCGCCGTATTCTCCCTTTTCTCCATCACCCCGCCCCCATTCTCCCGCATTCCATCACCCCGCCCCACTCTCCCGCTTTCCATCACCCCGCCCCTTCCTCCCGCTTTCCATCACCCCGCCCCATTCTCTCCTCTTTCCATCACCCCGCCCCCATTCTCCCGCTTTCCATCACCCCGCCCCATTCTCCCTCTTTCCATCACCCTGCCCCATTCTCCCTCTTTCCATTACACCCCCCATTTCTCCCGCTTTCCATCGCCCCGCCCCATTCTCCCGCTTTCCATCACCCCGCCCCATTCTCCCGCTTTAAATCACCCCGTCCCATTCTCCCGCTTTCCATCACCCCGCCCCATTCTCCCTCTTTCCATCAACCCCGCCGTATTCTCCTTTTTTCCATCGCCCCCGCCCCCATTCTCCCGCATTCCATCACCCCGCCCCATTTCTCCCGCTTTCCATCACCCCGCCCCGTCCTCCCGCTTTCCCATCACCCGCCCCATTCTCCCGCTTTCCATCACCCCGCCCCATTCTCCCGCTTTCCATCACCCCGCCCCATTCTTCCGCTTTCCATCCACCCCGCCCCATTCTCCCGCTTTCCATCACCCCGCCCCAATTCTCCCACTTTCCATCACCCCGCTCCATTCTCCGGCTTTCCATCACCCCGCCAAATTCTCCCTCTTTCCATCACCCATCCCCATTCTCCCTCTTTCCATCACCCAGCCCCATTCTCCGCTTTCCATCACCCTGCCCCCATTCTCCCTCTTTTCCATCACCCCACCCCATTCTCCCTCTTTCAATCACCCCGCCCCATTCTCTCGCTTTCCATCACCTTGCCCCATTCTCCTGCTTTCCATCACCCCGCCCCATTCTCCCCTCTTTCCATCACCCCGCCAATTCTCCCTCTTTCCATCACCCCGCTCCATTCTCCCGCTTCTCATCACCCCCGCCCAATTCTCCCTCTTTTCATCACCCCGCCCCATTCTCCCTCTTTCCATCACCCAGCCCCATTCTCCTGCTTTCCATCACCCCGCCTCTATTCTCCCGCTTTCCATCACCCCGCCCCAATTCTCCCTCTTTTTCATCACCCCTCCCCATTCTCCCTCTGTCTCCATCACCCCGCCCCACTCTCCGCTTTCCATCACCCTGCCCTATTCTCCCTCTTTCCATCACCCCGCCCCATTCCTCCCGCTTTCCATCACCCCGCCCCATTCTTCCTCTTTCCATCACCCCGCCCCATTCTTCCGCTTCCATCACCCCGCCCGTTCTCCCTCTTTCCATCACACCTGCCCCATTCTCCCTCTTTCCCATCACCCCCACCCCATTCTCCCGCTTTCCATCGCCCTGCACCCATTCTCCCGCTTTCCATCACCCCGCCCCATTCTCCCGCATTCCATCACCCCGCCCCATTCTCCCGCTTTCCATCACCCTGCCCCATTCTCCCTCTATTCCATCACCCCGCCGTATTCTCCCTTTTTCCATCACCCGCCCCATTCTCCCGCATTCCATCACCCAGCCCCATTCTCCCGCTTTCCATCACCCCGCCCCTTCCTCCCACTTTCCATCACCCCGCCCCATTCTCCCTCTTTCCATCACCCCTGCCCCCATTTCTCCCTCTTTCCATCACCCCGCTCCATTCTCCCGCTTTTCATCACCCCGCCCAATTCCTCCCTCTTTTCATCACCCCTTCCCCATTCTCCCTCTTTCCATCACCCCGCCCCCCACTCTCCCGCTTTCCATCACCCCGCCCTATTCTCCCTTCTTCTCCCAATTCCACCCCGCACCATTCTCCCCGCTTTCCATCACCCACGCCCCATTCTTCCTAAATCCATCACCCCGCCCCATTCTCCCGCTTTCCATCACCCCTCCTCATTCCTCCCTCTTTCCATCACCCTGCCCCATTTCTACCTCTTTTCCATCACCCCGCCCCATTCTCCCGCTTTCCATCGCCCTGCCCCATTCTCTCCCGCTTCCATCACCCCGCCCCATTCTCCCGCTCTTCCATCACCCCGCCCCATTCTCCCGCTTTCCATCACCCCAGCCCCATTCTCCCTCTTTCCATCACCCCCGCTCTATTCTCCCTTTTTCCATCACCCCGCCCCCATTCTCCCGCTTTCCATCACCCCGCCCCTTCCTCCCGCTTTCCATCACCCCGCCCCATTCTCCCTCTTTCCATCACCCTGCCCCATTCTCCCTCTTTCCATCACCCCGCCCTCCATTCTCCCGCTTTCCATCACCCCGCCCAATTTCTCCCTCTTCTCCAATCACCCCTCCCCATTCTCACTCTTTCCATCACCCCGCCCCACTCTCCCACTTTCCATCAAACCCGCCCTATTCTCCCTCTTTCCATCACCCCGCCCCATCTCTCCCGCTTTCCATCACCCCGCCCCCATTCTCCCTCTTTCCATCACCCTGCCCCATTTTCCCGCTTTCCATCACCCCGCCCCATTCTCCCTCTTTTCATCACCCTGCCCCATTCACCCGCTTTCCATCGCACCACCCCATTCTCCTGCTTTCCATCACCCCGCCCCATTCTCCCGCTTTCCATCACCCCGCCCCATTCTCCCGCTTTCCATCACCCCGCCCCATTCTCCCGCTTTCCAACACCCCGCCCAATTCTCCCCTCTTTCCATCACCCTGCCGTATTCTCCCTCTTTCCATCACCCCGCCCATTCTCCTTCTTTCCATCACCCTGCCCCCCATTCTCCCGCTTTCCATCACCCCGCCCCATTCTCCCTCTTTCCATCACCCTGCCCCATTCTCCCTCTTTCCATCACCCCACCCCATTTCTCCCGCTTTCCATTGCCCCGCCCCATTCTCCGCTTTCCATCACCCCGCCCCATTCTCCCTCTTTCCATCACCCCGCCCCATTCTCCCGCTTTCCATCACCCCGCCCCATTCTCCCTCTTTCCATCACCCCGCCGTATTCTCCCTCTTTCCATCACCCCGCCCCCATTCTCCCGCTTTCCATCACCCCGCCCCCATTCTCCCGCTTTCCATCACCCCGCCCCATTCTCCCGCTTTCCATCACCCCGTCCCATTCTCCCGCTTTCCATCACCCCGCCCCATTCTCCCGCTTTCCATCACCCCGCTCCATTCTCCGGCTTTCCATCACCCTGCCAAATTCTCCCTCTTTCCATCACCCGTCCACATTCTCCCTCTTTCATCAGCCCCATTCTCCCGCTTTCCATCACCCCCGCCCCATTCTCCCTCTTTCCATCACCCCACCCCATTCTCCCTCTTTCCATCACCCCGCCCCATTCTCTCGCTTTCCATCCACCCCGCCCCATTCTCCCGCTTTCCATCACCCCGCCCCATTCTCCCTCTTTCCATCACCCCGCCCCATTCTCCCGCTTTCCATCACCCCGCTCCATTTTCCCGCTTTCCATCACCCCGCCCCAATTCTCCCTCTTTCCATCACCCCTCCCCATTCTCCCTCTTTCTATCACCCCGCCCCATTCACCCTCTTTTCCATCACCCCGCCCCATTCTCCCTCTTTCCATCACCCTGCCCCATTTTCCCTCTTTCCATCAACCCCAGCCCCCATTCTCCCTCTTTCCATCACCCCGCCCCATTCTCTCGCTTTCCATCATCCCGCTCCATTGTCCCGCTTTCCAGACCCCGCCCAACTCTCCCTCTTTCCATCACCCCTCCCCATTCTCCCTTTTTCCATCACCCCGCCCCATTCTCCCTCTTTCCATCACCCCCGCCCCATTCTCCCTCTTTCCATCACCCCGCCCCATTCTCCCTCTTTCCATCACCCCGCCCCACTCTCCCACCTTCCATCACCCCGCCCAATTCTCCCTCTTTCCATCACCCTGCCCCATTCTCCCTCTTTCCATCACCCGCTCCATTCTCCCGCTTTTCATCACCCCGCCCAATTCTCCCTCTTTTTTATCACCCCCTCCCCATTCTCCCTCTTTCCATCACCCCGCCCCACTCTCTCCGCTTTCCATCACCCCGCCCCATTCTCTCGCTTTCCATCACCCCGCCCCATTCTCCCGCTTTCCATCACCCCGCCCCATTCTCCCTCTTTTCCATCACCCGCCCCATTCTCCCGCTTTCCATCACCCCGCTCCATTTTCCCCGCTTTCCATCACCCCGCCCAATTCCCCTCTTTCCATCACCCCTCCCCATTCTCCCTCTTTCTATCACCCCGCCCCATTCACCCTCTTTCCATCACCCCGCCCCATTCTCCCTCTTTCCATCACCCTGCCCCATTTTCCCTCTTTCCATCACCCCGCCCCATTCTCCCTCTTCCATCCACCCCGCCCCATTCTCTCGCTTTCTTCCATCATCCCGCTCCATTGTTCCCGCTTTCCATGACCCCGCCCAACTCTCCCTCTTTCCATCACCCCTCCCCATTCTCCCTTTTTCCATCACCCCGCCCCATTCTCCCTCTTTCCATCACCCCGCCCCCATTCTCCCTCTTTCCATCACCTCCGCCCCATTCTCCCTCTTTCCATCACCCCCGCCCCACTCTCCCACCCTTCCATCACCCCGCCCAATTCTCCCTCTTTCCACTTCACCCTGCCCCATTCTCCCTCTTTCCATCACCCCGCTCCATTCTCCCGCTTTTCAATCACCCGCCCAATTCTCCCTCTTTTCATCACCCCCTCACCCATTCTCCCTCTTTCCATCACCCCGCCCCACTCTCCCGCTTTCCATCACCCCGCCCTATTCTCCCTCTTTCCATCACCCCGCCCCATTTCTCCCGCTTTCCATCACCCCCGCCCCATTCTTCCTCTTTCCATCACCCCCGCCCCCATTCTCCCGCTTTCCATCACCCCGCCCCATTCCCCCTCTTTCCATCACCCTGCCCCATTCTCCCTCTTTCCATCACCCCGCCCCATTCTCCCGCTTTCCATCGCCCTGCCCCATTCTCCCGCTTTCCATCCACCCCGCCCCCATTCTCCCGCTTTCCATCACCCCGCCCCATTCTCCGCTTTCCATCACCCCGCCCCATTTCTCCCTCTTTCCATCACCCCGCTCCTATCTCCCTTTTTTCCATCACCCCGCCCCCATTCTCCCGCTTTCCATCACCCCGCCCCTTCCTCCCGCTTTTCCATCACCCCGCCCCATTCTCCCTCTTTCCATCACCCTGCCCACATTCTCCCTCTTTCCATCACCCCGCTCCCATTCTCCCGCTTTCCATCACCCCGCCCAATTCTCCCTCTTTCCATTCACCCCTCCCCAATTCTCACTCTTTCCATCACCCCGCCCCACTCTCCCACTTTCCATCAACCCGCCCTATTCTCCCTCTTTCCATCACCCCGCCCCATTCTCCCGCTTTCCATCACCCCGCCCCATTCTCCCTCTTTATATCACCCCCGCTCCATTCTCCCGCTTTCCATCACTCCCCGCCCCATTCTCCCTCTTTCATCACCCTGCCCCATTCACCCACTTTCCATCGCCCCACCCCCATTCTCCTGCTTTCCATCACCCCGCCCCCATTCTCCCTCTTTCCATCACCCCGCCGTATTCTCCCTCTTTCCATCACCCCGCCCCATTCTCCCGCTTTCCATCACCCCGCCTCATTTCTCCCGCTTTCCATCACCCCGCCCCCATTCTCCCGCTTTCCATCACCCCGCCCCATTCTCCCGCTTTCCATCACCCCCGCCCCATACTCCCGCTTTCCTATCCACCCCGCTCCATTCTCCGGCTTTCCATCACCCCGCAAATTCTCCCCTCTTTCCATCACCCGTCCCCATTCTCCCTCTTTCCATCACCCAGCCCCATTCTCCCGCTTTCCATCACCCCGCCCCATTCTCCCTTTTTCCATCACCCCACCCCATTCTCCCGCTTTCCATCACCCCGCCCCATTCTCTCGCTTTCCATCATCCCGCCCAATTCTCCCTCTTTCCATCACCCCTCCCCATTCTCCCTTTTCCATCACCCCCCACCCCATTCTCCCTCTTTCCATCAAACCCCCCCCATCTTCCCTCTTTCCATCACCCCGCCCCATTCTCCCGCTTTCCATCACCCCGCCCCATTCTCTCGCTTTCCATCATCCCGCTCCATTGTCCCGCTTTCCATCACCCCCGCCCAATTCTCCCTCTTTCCATCACCCCTCCCCATTCTCCCTTTTTCCATCACCCGCCCCATGCTCCCCTCTTTCCATCACCCCGCCCCCATTCTCCCTCTTTCCCATCACCCCGCCCCATTCTCCCTCTTCCATCACCCCGCCCCACTCTCCCACCTTCCATCACCCCGCCCAATTCTCCCTCTTTCCATCACCCTGCCCCATTCTCCCTCTTTCCATCACCCCGCTCCATTCTCCCGCTTTTCATCACCCCGCCCAATTCTCCCTCTTTTCATCACCCCTCCCCATTCTCCCTCTTTCCATCACCCCGCCCCACTCTCCCGCTTTCCATCACCCCGCCCTATTCTCCCTCTTTCCATCACCCGCCCCATTCTCCCCGCTTTCCATCACCCCGCCCCATTCTTCCTCTTTCCATCACCCCGCCCCATTCTCCCGCTTTCCATCACCCCCGCCCCATTCCCCCTCTTCTCCATCACCCTGCCCCCATTCTCCCTCCCCGCCCCATTCTCCCGCTTTCCATCGCCCTGCCCCATTCTCCCACTTTCCATCACCCCGCCCCATTCTCCGCTTTCCATCACCCCCGCCCCATTCTCCCACTTTCCATCACCCCGCCCCATCTCCCTCTTTCCATCACCCCGCTCTATTCTCCCTTTTTCCATCACCCCGCCCCATTCTCCCGCTTTTCCATCACCCCGCCCCCTTCCTCCCGCTTTCCATCACCCCGCCCCATTCTCCCTCTTTCCATCACCCTGCCCCATTCTCCCTCTTTCCATCTCCCCGCTCCATTCTCCCGCTTTCCATCACCCCGCCCAATTCTCCCCTCTTTCCATCACCCCTCCCCATTCTCACTCTTTCCATCACCCCGCCCCACTCTCCCACTTTCCATCAACCCGCCCTATTCTCCCTCTTTCCATCACCCCGCCCCCATTCTCCCGCTTTCCATCACCCCGCCCCATTCTCCCCTCTTTCCATCACCCCGCCCCATTCTCCCGCTTTCCATCACCCCGCCCCATTTCTCCCTCTTTTCATCACCCTGCCCCATTCACCCACTTTCCATCGCCCCACTCCATTCTCCTGCTTTCCATCACCCCGCCCATTCTCCCTCTTTCCATCACCCCGCCGTATTCTCCTCTTCTCCATCACCCCGCCCCATTCTCCCGCTTTCCATCACCCCGCCTCATTCTCCCGCCTTTCCATCACCCCGCCCCCTTCTCCCGCTTTCCATCACCCCGCCCCATTCTCCCGCTTTCCATCACCCGCCCCATTCTCCCGCTTTCCATCACCCCGCTCCATTCTCCCGGCTTTCCATCACCCCGCCCAAATTCTCCCTCTTTCCATCACCCGTCCCCATTCTCCCTCTTTCCATCACCCAGCCCATTCTCCCGCTTTTCCATCACCCCGCCCCATTCTCCCTCTTTCCATCACCCCACCCCATTCTCCCTCTTTCCATCACCCCGCCCCCTCCATCACCCCGCCCCATTCTCCCGCATTTCCATCACCCCGCCCCATTCTCACCTCTTTCCATCACCCCGCCCCATTCTCCCGCTTTCCATCACCCCGCTCCATTTCCCGCTTTCCATCACCCCGCCCAATTCTCCCTCTTTCCATCACCCCTCCCCATTCTCCCTCTTTCTATCACCCCGCCCCATTCACCCTCTTTCCATCACCCCGCCCCATTCTCCCTCTTTCCATCACCCTGCCCCATTTTCCCTCTTTCCATCACCCCGCCCCATTCTCCCGCTTTCCATCACCCCGCCCCATTCTCTCGCTTTCCATCATCCCGCTCCATTGTCCCGCTTTCCATGACCCCGCCCAACTCTCCCTCTTTCCATCACCCTCCCATTCTCCCTTTTTCCATCACCCCGCCCCATTCTCCCTCTTTCCATCACCCCGCCCCATTCTCCCGCTTTCCATCACCCTGCCCCATTCTCCCTCTTTCCATCACCCCGCCCCATTCTCCCTCTTTCATCCACCCCGCCCCATTCTCCCGCTTTCCATCAAACCCCCCCCACCTCTTCCCTCTTTCCATCACCCCGCCCCATTCTCCCGCTTTCCATCACCCCGCCCCATTCTCTCACTTTCCATCATCCCGCTCCATTGTCCCGCTTTCCATCACCCCGCCCAATTCTCCCTCTTTCCATCACCCCTCCCCATTCTCCCTTTTTCCATCACCCCGCCCCATTCTCCCGCTTTCCATCACCCCGCCCCACTCTCCCGCCTTTCCATCACCCCGCCCAATTCTCCTTCTTTCCATCACCCCGCCCCATTCTCCCTCTTTCCATCACCCCGCCCCATTCTCCGCTTTCCATCACCCCGCCCCATTCTCCCTCTTTCCATCACCCCGCCCCATTCTCCCTCTTTCCATCACCCCGCCCCATTCTCCCGCTTTCCATCACCCCGCGCCATTTTCCCTCTTTCCATCACCCCGCCCCATTCTCCCGCTTTCCATCACCTGCCCCATTCTCTCGCTTTCCATCATCCCGCTCCATAGTCTGCTTCATCACCCCGCCCAATTCTCCCTCTTTCCATCACCCCTCCCCGTTCTCCCTTTTTCCGTCACTTCGCCCCATTCTCCCGCTTTCCATCACCCCGCCCCATTCTCCCTCTTTCCATCACCCGGCCCCATTCTCCCTCTTTCCATCACCCCGCCCCATTCTTCCGCTTTCCATCACCCCGCCCCATTCTACCGCTTTCCGTCACCCTACCCCATTCTCCAACTCTCCAGCACCCCGCCCCATTCTCCCTCTTTCATCACCCCGCCCCATTCTCCCGCTTTCCATCACCCCACCCATTCTCCCTCTTTCCATCACCCCGCCCCATTCTCCCTCTTTCCATCACCCTGCCCCATTCTCCCTCTATCCATCACCCCGCCCAATCCTCTCGCTTTCATCACCCGTCCCATTCTCCAGCTTTCCATCACCTCGCCCCATTCTTCTGCTTTCCATCACCCCACCCCATCCTCCCTCTTTCCATCACCCCGCCCCATTCTCCCGATTTCCATCACCCCGCCCCGTTCCCCGCTTTCCATCACCCCGCCCCATTCTCCCGCTTTCTATCATCCCGCCCCATTCTCCCGCTTTCCATCACCCCGCCCCATTCTTCCTCTTTCCTCACCCCGCCCATTCTTCCTCTTTCCATCACCCCGCCCCATTCTCCCGATTTCCATCACCCCGCCCCATTCTCCCACTTTCCATCACCCCGCCCCATTCTACCTCTTTCCATCACCCGCCCCATTCTCCCTCTTTCCATCACCCCGCCCCACTCTCCCGCCTTCCATCACCCCGCCCAATTCTCCCTCTTTCCATCACCCCGCCCCATTCTCCCTCTTTCCATCAACCCACCCCAGTCTCCCGCTTTCCATCACCCCGCCCCATTCTCCCTCTTTCCATCACCCCGCCCCATTCTCCCTCTTTCCATCACCCTGCCCCATTCTCCCGCTTTCCATCACCGCGCGCCATTTTCCCTCTTTCCATCACCCCGCCCCATTCTCCCGCTTTTCATCACCCCGCCCCATTCTCTCGCTTCCATCATCCCGCTCCATTGTCTGCTTTCCATCACCCCGCCCAATTCTCCCTCTTTCCATCACCCCTCCCCATTCTCCCTTTTTCCATCACTTCGCCCATGCTCCCGCTTTCCATCACCCCGCCCATTCTCCCTCTTTCAATCCCCGCCCCATTCTCCCTCTTTCCATCACCCCGCCCCATTCTTCCGCTTTCCATCACCCCGCCCATTCTACCGCTTTCCGTCACCCTACCCATTCTCAACTTTCCAGCACCCCGCCCCACTCTCCCTCTTTCCATCACCCCGCCCCATTCTCCTGCTTTCATCACCCCACCCATTCTCCCTCTTTCCATCACCCCGCCCCATTCTCCCTCTTTCCATCACCCCGCCCCATTCTCCTCTTTCCATCACCCCTCCCCATTCTCTCGCTTTCCATCATCCCGCTCCATTGTCCCGCTTTCCATCACCCCGCCCCATTCTCCCTCTTTCCATCACCCGCCCCATTCTCCCGCTTTCCATCACCCCCCCCATTCTCCCTCTTTCCATCACCCCGCCCCATTCTCCCTGTTTCCATCACCCCGCCCCATTCTCCCGCTTTCCATCACCCCGCGCCATTTCCCTCTTTCCATCACCCCCGCCCCATTCTCCCGCTTTCCATCACCCCGCCCCATTTCTCGCTTTCCATCATCCCGCTCCATTGTCCCGCTTTCAATCACCCGCTGTTGGTGCAACCCTATGGTTTGCACTCGGCTTGTTGTCCGTGTGCGTGCATGTGTGTGTGTGTATGGAATGGTATGAGGGCATGGGATAATATATATTTCATGCTTATAATTGGTGTGAATGTTGAGTCATGATGTCGAGTGTATGTGTCGAGTCAATAGCGAGTTATCGCTAGACGCGTGTTACGCGGTCGTTTGTGTCTCGCGCGCGGTTTCTCTTTTGTCCTGTGTCGAACGTTCGGTGTGTCACAGGTGTGTGCAGCAGACCCATCAAGAACTCAAGGATGAGTTTGTGATGAAGAGCCGAGCCTTGGTGTCAATCCTCAAGTGATTTCAAAGATCGCCAAAAGGGTACACCTCAAGATATTGAAGATAGTTACATTACTTTGTTAGTGTAACATATCACTTGGTGTAGGCCTAGTGAAGGGTAGTTCGAGACCCTTCGTGGTTGGGGACAGTGTGGCACTGTTCCACTCACTGTACCTCGGCTCTTGGGGTTTGTAGGAGCTGGGAGTCATTCCAACTCGTAACTCTTCCTAACTCTTCCTATCTTGAGTTCTAAGACTATAGTGGCTGCCATAGTGCCGTTCGTTCAAACCAACCCTGTGTCGTCAATACTTGGTGAAATCGTGCTATCTAAATTGCCTATTGTAGGCGACAATACGAAGCTCCAGATCCAAGTTGAATCAAGTCATTTGAAGCTCTGACCAGAACGCTATGAACGTTTGAAGCCGCTGTGCAGAAATCCGACTGTGCACTCTATCTTTCGTTTTAGGCACATTGGAGCCTACTGTGACAATAACACCCGCCCAATTCTCCCTCTTTCCATCACCCCTCCCCATTCTCCCTTTTTCCATCACCCCGCCCCATTCTCCCGCTTTCCATCACCCCGCCCCATTCTCCCTCTTTCCATCACCCTGCCCCATTCTCCCCCTTTCCATCACCCCGCCCCATTCTCCCGCTTTCCATCACCCCGCGCCATTTTCCTCTTTCCATCACCCCGGCCCATTCTCCCGCTTTCCATCACCCCGCCCCATTCTGTTGCTTTCCATCATCCCGCTCCATTGTCCCGCTTTCCATCACCCCGCCCAATTCTCCCTCTTTCCATCACCCCTCCCCATTCTCCCTTTTTCATCACCCCGCCCCATTCTCCCGCTTTCCATCACCCCGCCCATTCTCCCTCTTTCCATCACCCGCCCCATTCTCCCTCTTTCCATCACCCCGCCCCATTATCCCGCTTTTCATCACCCCGCCCCATTCTACCGCTTTCCGTCACCCCACCCCATTTTCCCTCTTTCCATCACCCCGCCCCATTCTCCCTCTTTCCATCACCCCGCCCCATTCTCCCGCTTTCCATCACCCCACCCCATTCTCCCTCTTTCCATCACCCCGCCCCATTCTCCTCTTTCCATCACCCCGCCCCATTCTCCCGCTTTCCATCACCCCGCGCCATTTTCCCTCTTTCCATCACCCCACCCATTCTCCCACTTTCCATCACCCTGTCCCATTCTCCCTCTATCCATCACCCCGCCTAATTCTCCTGCTTTCCATCACCCCGTCCCATTCTCCTGCTTTCCATCACCGCGCCCCATTCTCTCTCTTTCCATAACCCCGCCCCATTCTCCGCTTTCCATGACCCCGCCCCATTCTCCCGCTTTCCATCACCCCGCTCCATCCTCCCGCTTTCCATCACCCGCCCAATTCTCCCCTTTCCATCACCCTCCCCATTCTCCCTCTTTCTATCAGCCCGCGCCATTCTCCCGCTTTCCATCACCCCGCCCCATTCTCCTGCTATCCATCACCCCGCCCCATTCTTCCACTTTCCATCACCCTGCCCCATTCTCTCGCTTTCCATCACCCCGCTCCATTCTCCCGCTTTCCATCACCCCCGCCCGATTCTCCGATTTGCATCACCCCGCACCCCATTCTCCCGCTTTCCATCACCCGCCCCATTCTCCCTCTTTCCATCAGCCCGCCCCATTCTCCCGCTTCCATCACCCCGCCCCATTCTCCCTCTTTCCATCACCCCGCCCCATTCTCCCTCTTTCCATCACCCCGCCCCATTCTCCCGCTTTCCATCACCCCGCCCCATTCTCCCTCTATCCATCACCCCGTCCCATTCTACCACTTTCCATCACCCCGCCCCATTCTCCCGCTTTCCATCACCCCGCTCCATTCTCCCGCTGTCCATCACCCCGCCCAATTCTCCCACTTTCCATCAACCCTCCCTATTCTCCCACTTTCCATCACCCCGCCTCATTCTCCGCTTTCCATCACCCGCCCCATTCTCCCGCTTTCCATCACCCCGCCCCATTCTCCCGCTTTCCACCACCCCGCCCCATTCTCCCGCTTTCCATCACCCCGCCCCTTTCTCCCGCTTTCCATCGCCTCGCCCATTCTCCCTCTTTCCATCACCCCGCCCCGTTCCCCGCTTTCCATCACCCCGTCCCATCTCCCGCTTTCCATCATCCCGCCCCATTCTCCCGCTTTCCATCACCCCGCCCCATTCTTCCTCTTTCCATCACCCCGCCCCATTCTTCCTCTTTCCATCACCCCGCCCCATTCTCCCGATTTTCATCACCCCACCCCATTCTCCCACTTTCCATCACCGGCCCCATTCTACCTCTTTCCATCACCCCGCCCATTCTCCCTCTTTCCATCAGCCCGCCCCACTCTCCCGCCTTCCATCACCCGCCCAATTCTCCCTCTTTCCATCACCCCGCCCCATTCTCCCTTTTCCATCACCCCGCCCCATTCTCCCGCTTTCCATCACCCCGCCCCATTCTCCCTCTTTCCATCACCCCGCCCCATTCTCCCGGTTTCCATCACCGCGCGCCATTTTCCCTCTTTCCATCACCCGCCCCATTCTCCCGCTTTCCATCACCCCGCCCCATTCTCTCGCTTTCCATCATCCCGCTCCATTGTCTGCTTTCCATCACCCCGCCCAATTCTCCCTCTTTCCATCACCCCGCCCCATTCTCCCTTTTTCCATCACTTCGCCCCATGCTCCCGCTTTCCATCACCCCGCCCCATTCTCCCTCTTTCCTTCACCCGCCCCATTCTTCCCCTTTCCATCACCCCGCCCCATTCTACCGCTTTCCGCCACCCTACCCCATTCTCCAACTTTCAGCACCCCGCCCCACTCCCCTCTTTCCATCACCCGCCCCATTCTCCTGCTTTCCATCACCCCACCCCATTCTCCCTCTTCCATCACCCCGCCCCATTCTCCCTCTTTCCATCACCCTGCCCAATTCTCCCTCTATCCATCACCCCGCCCAATTCTCTCCGCTTTCCGTCACCCGTCCCATTCTCCTGCTTTCCATCACCCCGCCCCATTCTTCTGCTTTCCATCACCCCACCCCATCCTCCCTCTTTCCATCACCCGCCCCATTCTCCCGATTTCCATCACCCTGCCCCGTTCCCCCGCTTTCCATCACCCCGCCCCATTCTCCCGCTTTCCATCATCCCGCCCCATTCTCCCGCTTTCCATCACCCGCCCCATTCTTCCTCTTTCCATCACCCCGCCCCATTCTTCCTCTTTCCATCACCCCGCCCCATTCTCCCGGTTTCCATCACCCGCCCCATTCTCCCACTTTCTATCACCCGCCCCATTCTCCCTCTTTCTATCACCCCGCCCCATTCTCCCTCTTTCCATCACCCCGCCCCACTCTCCCGCCTTCCATCACCACGCCCAATTCTCCCTCTTTCCATCACCCGCCCCATTCTCCCTCTTTCCATCACCCGCCCCATTCTCCCGCTTTCCATCACCCGCCCCATTCTCCCTCTTTCCATCACCCCGCCCCATTCTCCCTGTTTCCATCACCCCGCCCCATTCTCCCGCTTTCCATCACCCCGCATCATTTTCCCTCTTTCCATCACCCCGCCCCATTCTCCCGCTTTCCATCACCCCGCCCCATTCTCTCGCTTTCCATCATCCCGCTCCATTGTCCCGCTTTCAATCACCCGCTGTTGGTGCAACCCTATGGTTTGCACTCGGCTTGTTGTCCGTGTGCGTGCATGTGTGTGTGTGTATGGAATGGTATGAGGGCATGGGATAATATATATTTCATGCTTATAATTGTGTGTGAATGTTGAGTCATGATGTCGAGTGTATGTGTCGAGTCAATAGCGAGTTATCGCTAGACGCGTGTACGCGGTCGTTTGTGTCTCGCGCGCGGTTTCTATTTTGTCGCGCGCGGTTTCTCTTTTGTCCTGTGTCGAACGTTCGGTGTGTCACAGGTGTGTGCAGCAGACTCATCAAGAACTCAAGGATGAGTTTGTGATGAAGAGCCGAGCCTTGGTGTCAATCCTCAAGTGATTTCAAAGATCGCAAAAGGGTACACCTCAAGATATTGAAGATAGTTACATTACTTTGTGTAGTGTAACATTTCACTTGGTGTAGGCCTAGTGAAGGGTAGTTTCGAGACCCTTCGTGGTTGGGGACAGTGTGGCACTGTTCCACATCACTGTACCTCGGCTCTTGGGGGTTTGTAGGAGCTGGGAGTCATTCCCAACTCGTAACTCTTCCTAACTCTTCCTATCTTGTGTTTAAGACTATAGTGGCTGCCATAGTGCCGTTCGTTCAAACAAAACCTGTGTCGTCAATATTGGTGAAATCGTGCTATCTAAATTGCCTATTGTAGGCGACAATACGAAGCTCCAGATCCAAGTTGAATCAAGTCATTTGAAGCTCTGACCAGAACGCTATGAACGTTTGAAGCCGCTGTGCAGAAATCCGACTGTGCACTCTATCTTTCGTTTTAGGCACATTGGAGCCTACTGTGACTATAACACCCGCCCAATTCTCCCTCTTTCCATCACCCCTCCCCACTCTCCCTTTTTCCATCACCCCCGCCCATTCTCCGCTTTCCATCACACCACCCCGTTCTCCTGATTTCCATCACCCCGCCCCTAAACCCTAAACCCTTCTCCCCTTTCCATAACCCGCCCATTCTCCCGCTTTCCATCATCCCGCCCCATTCTCCCGCTTTCCACCACCCCGCCCCATTCTCCTGATTT